CAAAGGCTTGCAATTTAAATTCCTCCTTTTTAACTTTCATTCCTTTTATATTTGTATCCTCTCTAATATTTCTATTTAATACTTCCAAAGTCAATACAAATAACAAAGGGGATAGTGGACATCCTTGTCTTGTGCCTTTTTTAATATTGATAGAGTCTGTAAATTCTCCATCTATCATCACTTTTGCTGTTTGCTTATAATATATAGCTTCTATTGCTTGAATAAATTTTCTAGCAAAACCCATCTGTTCCAATAATAATAACATAAATCTCCAATTCACGTTATCAAATGCCTTTTGAGCATCTAAAAATATCAAAGCCATTTGCTTTTCAGGGTGTGCCTCATAATATTCCAAAGTGTCCAAAATTACTCTCATGTTGTCTTTAATTTGTCTCTTTGGTAGAAATCCATTCTGATCAGAATGAATAAAATTATTTAAGTATTTTTTAAGCCTTTCTGCCAAAATTGAAGCAAATATTTTATAATCTGCATTCAATAAAGAAATAGGTCTATAATTCTTAATTTGTGATGGATCAGTCCCTTCTTTTGGAATAAGCGTAATATATGCTTCTGACCATGTTTTAGGTATTTTCTTATTTATCATAACTTCATTCATAATTTCTAACAATGAAATACTCAATGATTCTTGTAATGTTTTATAAAATTCTGCCGGGAAACCATCTGGTCCTGGTGCTTTCCCGTTATTCTGTCTATTAAGTGCTTCAGTTAATTCCATCATTGTTATAGGATTTTCCAACATTTTCCCAGTTTCATCAGATATCTTGGGTAGGTTGGCATTTTGTAAATACTGTTTAATTTTCCCCTCATCAAAATCCTCCTGCTTATATAATTGCGCATAAAAATCTCGAATAATTCTCTTTTTCTCCTTATTACCATGACAGATTAGACCCTGTTCATCCATTAACTGTAGTATTCTCCTTGATTCTTTCTCTTTTCTCAGTTTGTATGCTAACCATCTACCTGGCCTGTTTGCATCCTCAAAATAGTTCTGTTTAGCACTTCTAATTTTTTGCGCCAATTCTTCTTTCTCTGTTTGATCCATTTTATGTTTAATTATATCCATTTTAAATTTAATATCTTTTTTCTGTGGCATTCTCTGTAATTCTTTTTCCAATTTTTTATAATCATCTTCTAAAGTTTTAATCATTTGCCTCTTTCTAATATTTTTTTTCTTTGTGTATTCCATTATCAATCCTCTTGCATATGCCTTCATTGTGTCCCAAACATTCTGTATTGAAGTATCTTCTTTTCTGTTTTCATTAAAAAAGAAGGCCAGTTCTTTTTCCATCCACTGTGTAAAATCTTTTCCCTTTAAAATAGTATTATTTAATGTCCATCTAGATCTTCTTTTTTGTCCTTTCCATTTAATTGTCATTGGGTTATGATCTGCCCATGTACTTGTTTCAATATTTATTTCTTGGATATTAGATAATAATTCTGTTGATGTCCACATCATATCTATTCTGGACCATGATGAATGTCTATTCGAGTAGAAAGTATATTGTTGAGTTTTAGTATTTCTTTCTCTCCATATATCTTTTAGATTTAGTTCCTCTATCATTTCAAAAAAGGATTTAGGGAGGATCTTCCTATTTTGTCGTGTTATTTTTGCTGTGTAGTCCAATTCATTGTCTACAATTCCATTAAAATCTCCCATTATAAATATATTAGCGTAGTCCAATTCAATTATTTTCATATGTAATTTTTTATAGAATCTTTTTTGTTTATCATTCGGAGCATAGATTGCAACCAAAAGTATCTTTCTATTGTTATCCACTATTTCAACCATTAGTACTCTTCCATCTTCATCAGTATAAATCAATTTTGCTGAAATGGTTTCTTTAATATACAATACCACTCCTCTTTTCTTACACTGGGCCAAAGAAGTAAAAATTTTCTCTATTTTTGGTCGCACCAATAATTGTTGATGTTGTTTTTTAATGTGTACTTCTTGTAAGCAAATTATATCAAATTTTAATTTCTCTATTTTATGAAAAGTTTTCCTTCTTTTAGTAGCTGAATTCAGTCCATTTATATTCAAAGAAATCAATTTTTTTTCCTCCATAGTTATGATTTATATTTAGGTCTAACGGCTCTCGTTGATCTTACTTCACGTTGTTCTTTAGTCTCCACTTGTCCACCTACTGCACCTTCTTCTTTTCCCATCTCTATTTGGTCCTCTTGAAATTCAGTTAAGGTAGTCTCTTCTTCTATCTCTGTTTCCCTTCTTTTAAAAAATTCCTTATAAAACGATTCTGCTTCATCAATTGAGCCAATTCTGTATCTCTGTTCTTTCCATGTAACCATTAATCCTTCTGGAATCAACCATCTGTAATTCACCTCCTTTTCCAATAATACTTTAGTCAGGAAACGATATTCTCTCCTCATCTCTCTAATTTTTCTGGGTACTTGTTTTAAAACCCCAATCTCTTTATCTCCATATTTCAATGTCATCTCTCTTGCCGCTTGTAATATCTGTGTTCTGATAGATTTTTTAGTAAATCTAACATGAACTTCTCTTGGTAACTTATTCCTCGATGCATATCTTGTAAAAACTCGGTATATCTCATCTATTCCATCCATCATTTTTTCCTCTGTTATTTCCAAAGCTCCAGCCAAGATTTCTATCATTACTGCAGCAAGATCTTGTCCTTTTTCTTCCTCTATATTTTGAAATCTGAGGTAATATTCTGATCTATCCATCTCCCACTTCACCATCTCATTCTTGTTTTGTTCAAGCGTTGTCACTCTGTCATCGATATTTCCAATTTTCTCATCTTTTTGATTGTCTTTCTCTTCCAGTTTTTGCAATTTCTCATCTCTTTGATTGTCTTTCTCTTCCATTTTTTGCAGTCTCTCATCATACTTCGCCATCATCTGTTGGATGTTTTCAATTTTTTGTTCAATACTCCCCATCCTTTGTTCAATACTCATTTTAAGTTCTTGAATTCCTTGCATAACCGTCGTTAGATCCGTTTGTCCTTTATCTTGCTTCGCCATTGTTGAAAGTCGTCCTCCAGTTGATGGGGAGGCAGGAGCAGAAGTTGATGCGCCAGAAGGTAGAACTTTCTTACTCATTTGAATAACTCAGAATCTTCCCACTCTTTTAATCCAGTTGGCAGTGTAACAATTATAATCCAGTTAGTGAAAGGAAAAACGTAAAAAAGAAAAATCAGTTAAAAAAAAACAAAAAACCCAAGATTTAAAAAGGGAAAAAAGTTTCAAGGAAAAAAGAAAAATTTCTTTCTTCAGGTTCTTCTAGACCTTAATCCTCAGTTGCAATAGTCAAAAGGAGAGTAAAACCCAATAATATTAAAAAAATAACAATAATAATAAAAGAAAAAGAAAAGAAAAATTCTTCAGGTTCTTCACACCTTAATCCAATTGCGAAATCTCAAGAAAAAAAAACATGGCCACAAAAAAAGAGTATATACATACAAAGGTAAAAAAAAAGCAAAAGTCCCCCCCAAAAAAGAAAAGAAAAAGGAAAAAAGAAACAATATTCTGAGGCTTTCCCTTTAGAGAAAAAAAAATGAAAAATAATAATAATAGTAATAAGCAAAAGTGTACAAATATTACAAAATACTATAGGGTTAAGGAGGAGGGATAAAAGCTAACAACAAGTAAAGCAAAAATCACACTGCATTTTATTTAAACATCCAAGGCTCTTATTATGGCTTCTCCACAAGTTTCAAAGCCAAGCTTCAAACATTCAGTTGATTGTAGAAATCCCAAAGAGACACCTGTGAAAACATTCTCCAGAGTTCCTCTCTCTATCTTATCAACTCAGTGTCCTTGGGAGAGAGTTTCTCACAGTTCTCTCAACTTCAAGTAAAGTATTTTCAAGCCTCTAGTTGGCAGTGTTGCAGAGTTACAAAGTTTCTCAACTCCACTCCCCCTTCTTCCTCCCCCCCAAAAAAAATAGAAAAAGAAAATATGTATATATATATGTGTATATTTAAAAAAAGAAAAAATTACTAAAGGAAGCCTCTATTAAAAATATAAACAGTCAAAAAGGGAAGGTAATTATAGAAAAAAAAAAAAACCAGTCTGGTTACAATTACTAATCACAATAGAAGTTCGCTAGAAAAAAAAAGTAAAAAGCCAAGCCTCATTTTGACATCTCCTAAAAAATCGCCACTAAGTCCATCTTATCAAATTCTGTCAAAAATCTTACAGATTCCTTCTTCTTCTAGGGTGTCCTTATCCCAAATAAAAAAAATAAATCTCACCAGCCGATACACTTTCTCTTTCTTTCTTCTCTTCCTTTCGGAGCTGTCCCTGCTTCAGCAGCTTAATGGCTGCCTCTCCGCCGATGGTAAAGGGGCTTCTTCTGGATCCACCAGGGACTTGCGGTGTCCCTGTGATCAACAGAACGCGCCCCTTACTATCACCGTCTCTACGGGACGGTTTAGGTCCGTTGGGACCGACAAGGGGCGAAGATATCAGCTGTAACTTCGGAGCCCCGAAATTACAGCTGTAACGCGGCGACGTGACTCCGCCTTCTCCAAAAGGACTTTTCAATTATGTGAGTCCTCTGATGGCTCACCAGGCTGGAATTCTGAATGAAACTTTTCCCACAAACAGGACATTCAAGGGGTTTCTCTCCTGTGTTAGTCCTCTGATGGTTCACCAGGTGAGAATTCTGACTGAAACATTTCTTACACACAGGACATTCAAACGGCTTTTCTCCTGTGTGAGTCCTCTGATGGCTCACCAGGCTGGAATTCTGACTGAAACTTTTCCTGCTAGTAGGACATTCAAAGTGTTTCTGTCCTGTGTGAATCCTTTGGTGTCTCACCAACTCAGAATTCTGATTGAAACATTTCCAACAAAGAGGACATTCAAAGGGTTTCTCTCCTGTGTGAGTCCTTTGATGTTTCACCAGGTTGGAATTCAGACTGAAACGTTTCCCACAAATAGGACATTCAAAAGTTTTCTCTCCTGTGTGAGTCCTCTGATGGCTCACCAGGCTGGAATTCTGACTGAAACATTTTCTACACAAAGGACATTCAAAGGGCTTTTGTCCTGTGTGAGTCCTCTGATGGCTCACCAGGCTGGAATTCTGACTGAAATTTTTCCTGCAAACAGGACATTCAAAGGGTTTCTCTCCTATGTGAGTCCTCTGATGGCTCACCAGGCTGGAATTCTGACTGAAACATTTCCTGCAAATAGGACATTCAAAGGGTTTCTCTCCTGTGTGAGTCCTCTCATGACGCACCAGGTTAGAATTCTGACTGAAACGTTTCCCGCAAATAGGACATTCAATGGGTTTTTCTCCTGTGTGAGTTCTCTGATGGTTCACCAGGACAGAATTCTGACTGAAAC